AGCCGTTTTATTTTCTTCTTAATATTAGCTGGTGTCTCCTCTTTCTCATTTTTATATTTATCTAATAGCGGAATTACGCGATGGCGGTTTAGTTACATTGAGAGTAATAACAACACAAAGGATGATACCGCTGTAATTCGTCTCTAATACCGATGCAAAAAAGACGATTCCCAGTCGTACATTTTCATATGGAACCCACATAAAAAATTTCGATAGAAAAATAAGTTAATTCTCTTTCAATATATCAGCAATAGCACGGAGTTTTTAATGATTTTCGTCTTTCTAATCAAATGGTCGTAAAAGCTCCAATATTTCACGTATATTCAATTTTAGTGGATTCTCATACACCTTAAACCCCTTATGAGCTTCGAATTATGTGACTGTTGCAAGAATTCAGATATTTTATTTATTTTAAAAGTAATTACCTCCAACGTTTTATAGCTGACTACATAATATAGCTGCTTTGGAAACTACTAACCAGAATGTTTGTGTTGCCACAAATATTTTTGTAATTTAATCAGCTTTATGACAAAATCTTTCGCCATTTTTCCACCTTGCGCGCATGATCTTTTAAAAATGGCTAATGGTGCATACTTGAAATTGGATGGAATTCTTTATATGGGCACTATTTTATAATTGAACTAACAATCTGATGAATATTTTAATATTAAAAATTTTATGCTCAAAACATTACAGATTTTTTAATAAAATGCATTTTATAAACTCAACTCCAATAAAATAAAATTTAATATGAAATTCACAGGTTTTTTGGTTTACAGTAGTTTTCTAATGTTATAAGAGCTATATATAAACTATCGAATTAATAATGAACAGATAATTTAACTGTGCGCGCAAGGTGGAAACATGACGAAAATTTTTGTCACAAAGCGGATTAAATTATAAAATATTGTGGCAACACAAACTTCTGATTACATTTCAAAAAGTTATATGTAGTCATCCATAAAAAGTTGGAAATAATTGCTTTATAAATAAAGTTATCACAATTCTTGCAACAGTCACATATTCGAAGATCATAAGGGGTTTAAGGTGTATGAGCCCCCTTAAATGTGCCAAAAATAGATCATAATTGATCAGAAATCAATAACGCGAACAAACTAACACATAAACAGGCCTTCTTTATATATATAGAGAGAGATTTTATTAAACTTACAAATATTTGATTAACAAACTCTACGATTTGAAAGCGAGCACTACCAACACTTTTCGACGAAATAAAGCATTTTTTATCTCCAACACTCGAGACTGTTGCCACTCGGAAAAATGAGTGCGAAAATTAATATTTCGACTGGTTTAAAGGCGTTCGAAGATGGGAATAATAGTCGAAATCTTCTCACGAATTTTTGGAATCGGAATGTTTGGCAATGCTATTTTTATTTCTCGTAAAACTTAGAAATGTTTTATTAACAAACTCCACGATTTGAAAGCGAGCAGTGGCAACACACATCTCGAAAAAAAAAGCAGATATTTATCTCCAGCGTGCGATAGTGTTGCCACTCGGAAAATGAGGGCGAAAATGAACCTTTTTGAGAGTTTTTAATTAATATCTCTGATTTTTAGCTACTTTTGTTGTGGGAAAAAGTAGATGTCGACCTTTCCCAGGACCTAGAAAAGAACTGAAGAAAATTTAGGGACGCTAGGCTATAGCAGTGACTAAGTTAATCACTGAGAAATACGCAAACTTTCTTCTTTATATATATAGATAGATTTACCACGGATTTAAAAATTTTGACTTGCCTAATGATAAAATATGTTCCATACAATTTCATCAAGAACAAGGAATTATTCAGTCTGAAAAAAATGCAGGAAACCGTAAAATTTTTTTTTCTGATTTCTTTGACAAGTTGTTTAATTTACATTAAAAATTTCTAATTTAATAATCTGTCGTTATTTTTTCCCTTAGATTTTTTTCAACCTAACCGTATCGTATTTTATTTATCGTAATTTAAATATTTTGGCGATTATTTTTATGCTTCGAATTTTTCGCCAGATCGTCAGCTTTTGGCGATATCTGAATCCCGTCCCGATAACAGTACATTACCACGCTTGTATGAAAAGGTTTATGCTTCTAGATACATCCTGGAACTGGTTATGTTACGCTAGTTTATGTGGTTGGAATGCTGAACATATTTATGATATCTCTTATTGCAACTGGTCCGCCGAAAGTCCTAATTTGAAATTCATTGACAGTCTACAAGATTATTTCGACCAAGTTGTCAAACTCTAGCCACGCGCATCAACAAGTTCCATCAGATTGCAAGGTATGTTGCTGCAAGAATGTCTGGTACTGATTTTGAATACATATAACTTTATAACCATTATCTTATTTTATAGATACAAATGCTTTTATAGTTATACTGTATATATTTGCCTTTATCCTTTTTATGTCATTTAATTTTATACCAGAACGAATTCGGATTGCCATTAGGTTTCGAGAAAGAATTGGGTGGTACTTAAGTTTGTTTCGGGCAAAGAGTGATCAAAATTTTATCAGGTGAGCTTAATGAAACGTAGATTTCAGCGTATTGTGAGAAGGAATTATGTTACTGGGTAACTCATTTTCTTGTAATCGTAGTAAAATAATACTGTTTCTTTAAATAATTTGTTTAACTATTCCGCAAGTAACATGTCTTAGCTTGTATTTTGCGTAAAAAGAGAAGAAGTCATAATGACTGCTGCAAGTCGTCTGGGTCACACTGATGACATAGTATTGACACGAATCACGATAAGTTGTACGAAGTTTTATGAAGATGACACAGTTTACCACGGATTTGAAAATTTGGACTTGCCTAAGGATAAAATGGCTAAAATTCCATAAGCGGGGTAAGTTGGCGCCAAACTATTTTGGCCTTCAAAATTTGGCGAATTTTTTAGGCGCACTAGAATAGTAAAATAAGATGATAAAATACTAGATGAGTAAAACAAAGTCCAACAGCTTTGCAAGTAAAAGCAATAGTCCTATAGTATGTAATCATCATAAATAGTAGAATGAACAATTCGGTAAATAATTATTAATAACAAATGTATACCTATCAGATCAGAGCATTGCGATCTGTTTTAAACGTAAACAGAATAGCAAATTTTTGTTTACAGTGGTGAACAGCGATTACTATGGGCAAACAGAATAGTAAATGAAATTGATTAAATGATAAAAACAACGTCGAAGAATTCAACACACCGAACAACTTTCGTTCGAAACTTCAAAACTTTAAATATTCCACATCATTCGACTGCCACATGCAAGAACAAACTAAAAAAAAAAAAAAAAAAATATCTGAAATGTTTCAGATTTTAAATTACGTCCAAAGGGGCGTTTTTTAAACATTTGTGTGTTACCTTTCTTTATTAAATATCATGTTCCTCGCACTTAAACCATAAGATCCAGTGCAACAGCAATATCGCAAAATAGTTTTAAAAACGAGCATATCTTTAGAATTTCCGATACAGAGACTCACGCGCTGGAGATAAAAAATGTTTTTTCTGCACAACGTTGCCATTGCTCGCTTTGAAATCCTTGAGTTTGTTAATCAAAATTCGTCAAGTTTTTAAAAAATAGGAAATCGATCATAAAAAAAATTTCAAATTTCAAATTTGGTCTTCCACATGCTCATATTCGTTGGAGGATTACGTTATTCAAAATTCGATGACTCTATGTACCGTATTTTATGACAATGTGAGAAATATACATACATTTACGCAGATTTTCATTATTTAATTTCTTCAAAGATAATGCAGGACTCTAACATTTTATGGCAAACAGTTTGAAAAGTGAACCGACATTTATGAGTCCGACGCAAAATGCCAAACGAAAGCAATAGTCCTTCGGACTGAAGTCCCTTTGGACTAAAAAAAAAAAAAAAAAAAATAAAAAATGTAAACATTCATAAATTATAAACTCATGTCATATGAAGCCAACATTCTCCCACCAACGACGCTTAACCTTCTGCAAATATTATATAAATAATATTAAACATATATATAAAAAAATAATACTAAACAGTAAAACGTTTAAAACAAACACACTATTTCAAATTAAATAAAAAACTTTCGTTCAAGCTTTGAATATTCCACATCTTTCGATTGCCACATGCAGAAACAAAACTAAGTAAAATTAACTAAATAAAAAAACATTCATAAAATATACAACTACATGTCATCTGAAAACCAACATTTCTCCAACCAACAACAGCTTAACCTATTGCCAAATATTTATATAATATAATATTATACATATATATACAATAAACAAACAGTAAAACTGTTTAAAAACAAACACAATATTTCAAAATTAAATTTTAAAAAAAAAGTCTGGCTACACTAAAATCGCACTCTTATAAGTTACCGAAATGAAGCTCTAGGTTTGCCACAAGAACACATACAGCTGGAAGCTACAACCAAATCAAAATCCGCATCAAATCAAAGCCTCTTGCCAAGTTTGGTGCTCACCCCGATTATGGAATTTTAACCGATAAAATATCATCCATACAATTTCATCAGGAACAAGGAATTATTCAGTCTGAAAAAAATCCAGGAAAAACCGTAAAATGTTTTTTTTTTTTTTTTTTTTTTCTGATTTTTTTTTGACAAATTGTTTAATTTACATTAAACATTTCTAATTTTACGAGTATCTGTTGTTATTTTTTCCCTTGATTTTTTCTTCAACCTAACCGTATCGTATTTTATTTATCGTAATCTAAATATTTTGGCTATTATTTTTATGCTTCGAATTTTTCGCCAGATCGTCAGCTTTTGGCGATATGTGAAGTTTTACGGTATTATGATTTCTAAATAACACTCTTCGTCTATTTTAATTTAAGAAACGTGAATACTTAAATTAACAAAATAATATACCAGCTGTAATTCATTGTTGCATAAGTTGTGCTGCGTTGTTGTGACATATCTCACTTGTTTGACTGTAACATCAGAGCAAGCCCACGAAATTCATCGCGGTTAAGGGTGCAAGATTGCGCCTGTCGTTCGTTGAAAAGAGCCTTGAGCAGACGACAGTACGATTTTTCTCAGTTCCGTCCCCAATTTTGAAGGAAAGCACTTCCGGGGAACAGGTCACTCTTCACCTACCACCAACCTCTCTAGAAGACTTTCGGCTCACCGTATATGACTCTAGAAGACTCGGCTCACCGTGCCCCCATGCTGCACAGACATTATACATTTACAAATATATCTGCTTCTTCGGGATTCGAACCTGCGCTCTTCGGTACCGCAGTAGGCTCTCCTAACCAATATCGTCTGAGTAGCTTCTTGCATAATTGCATAAAATAAGCAAAAATAGGCAGTTCTAGCGTTCCTTTGCTTACATGTCAAATGCTGTAATGATATCAGACAATACTGAATCAGGTCGACTAGTGGCCGAGCGGTAAAGTCGCTGAACACGAGTAGTTTGATTTTAGTTTGATTCCAGGCGAAAGAGCTGGCTGCATGGGGTTTTTCATGGTTTTCCTAATGTGTAACGGGTATACCAGCTAGTTCCCCTTTAAACGTCCTCCACGAAGGCATCTCTCCTCTTAGTATTACCCTTTATTTGATTGTAAAAAGCACCTTCAAGTGCTTTTTCACAATCAAATAAACCAAATCTGAACTGGATCTAGCTGATTACGTTGTTTTCGATTATTTTTTCACACTTTTAAAGATCCTCTAAGAGAATATCCTGATAATAATAATCTTTTGTGCATTAATCGGAACTTTAATTTAGAATCTTATTTCAGGACCGCTACCTTTGTATAGTCCACAATGTTCTTATCGAATGAGCGTTCCATGAGTGGCCGAGTGGTTAAGACCGGTGAATGCGGAAATTCGACTCGGTTTTCGATTCCAGGGGAATGGACTGGCGCGCATGTTTAGTTTCCTTAATTTTCCTCAGTTATAACGTGAATACGAGATAGTTCCTTTAGAAAGTCCTCCACGAAGGCTTTCATAATCTTATGCAGGTAGAACTCGTGTGCTTTTCATATTCAAATAACGTAACCTAACGTTAGCAGATGAGCTACTGAAGCTAGAAGCTAACTTCGGAAAATATATATTTTACAAAGGACATAGGTTTTGGATTTGGCTCGTTAAATGATAAAGCATTTAAGAATTATCTGCCGAAGGCAAGGGATGCTTTCATGGAGGAGGTTTTAAGAGAAACTTATCCATATTCACATTACGTATGAGAAAAAATGTAGAAATTTTGCTAGTGTAATGAGAACATGTATGTTACTGTGATAAGATAGTCTAATTAATTGTGATTAAAACGTCGTTTTTAATGTAAGTTAAAAAGAATCGTAATTTACTCACGTGTTTCTTCCCTTTTTTTACTAATTTTATCGTTCAAACGTCAAGAGGGGAAAACTACATAGCATAATATTGCAATATATAATAAGATAGGTATTATTCGGTTTTGAAGGCCGCAAAAATCGCCAAACTATTGTTGATGCCAGTGCTGCCAAAAATAATTGTGGCAACCCTAACGCAAGAAAGGAAGTGTAAATAGTAAATACCTATTTAAAATTATTGTTTTAATTTAGATGAAAGGTTAATTTCATGTAATTCTTTTTTATTATTATAAGTTATATAAAAGAGGCTAAACATGACTGAATGGAAGCATAAGAGTAAATAACTGTTTCAGATCATTATTATAATTTATATAAAAATTGCTAAACATAACTGAAGGGATGCCTGCATCGCTATTTCGCTACTAAGTTATCGCTAAAGCATAATTTCATCTCGTTGGTTGTTCAAACATAATTTTCTATAATGAATGATGCCTTTTCTTTGAAAAGATTCTCGGCAAAGTGCAGAAACGCCCACTTATTTGTTTGGCGCTTTTTACAAGGGTAAAAACAATTGAATTTTTGTCAATTTTCTTTTACCTTTTTAAGTGAAAATAGGTTGATGTGTACAGAGATAAAGTCAAGGGTGTGCGCAGTGCCATTTTTGTGCAATTCTGGAACTTTTTTTTGAAGTGAAAGTAGGTCGGGTTAATCTTTGGATTATAGTAACTTGGCGATTTTTTGGCGAAAATTTGGCAACCAATCCTGCTACAGCAACCTGCTAGTTTTGTTTTGGACGCCATTTTGTTTTCACGAAGTAGAGGCATGCTTTTATTTTTTTAATCAACATTTTTTCCAACAATCCGCTAGCCGAATTACGCTTATACTAGAACTTTTATGGAACAAAAATGCTTAATCATGACGAAGATTAGGTGCGAAATTGGGAGAAAGTGCAGAATCGCAAACTGCTTGCCGCTTTTTTAAGAATTGCA